AATGCGTTTAAGTTGATATATATATATATATATCAATAATTTTTCTTTTTGCAATGAGAGGCGTGCGCAGGGCTGAGACCATTTTCACTTAGCGGTGCCGCACAACTGCAGCAGGATGAGTGAAATGCTGGTCGTGAGATGGCCGGAGCACTCCGTCGAGTTGCGAAGAACTTTCACGGGTATGCGGGATCTTGGAGAACTTCTGGACGTAACCCTGGTTACGCCAGACGGTGAAGTAGAGGCTCATCGTCTTGTACTTGCTGCTTCATCTGAATTGCTTCGTGCTTTACTGAGAAAAGTAAGTCTCTGGGCTGTGAAAAATAAGTAAGCTAGACATGACTGAGCAAAAGACGTTAGGTACTGTTTGTGCACGTAAATTAAAAGGGACATTACTACAATACAAATTTTTAAAAAGATCTGCTTGCAATATAAATTTCCTGCGTTAATTTGGATTTATTATGGCTTGACCATCAAAATAAATTGTCTTCAATCACTCGCTAAAAGTTACACTTTCCTAGACTCCGAGTTAGCTGATAAAAGCTGTTCGATCTTTTTTAACCTTTTAGGTGAAATTGTTACCATTTCTTTTAAAAATATATCCCAAAACCTGTCAATAATCTACAAACGAAAAATAAAATGCAGATATTTAGAAGGCAGAACGGAGTATAGTAAAATACTTTGTGTTATCTTTTTTTACTTTCCGAAACAATTTGTTGCATGATAAAATTTTTATTAAAAAAATAGTATTTTTGTACAACACCATAGGGATTTTTCATAAGAACATAGAAAGAAACTATTTAGCCTGCTTATTTCAATTCAGTGATTTTCTTTCATGGTACATCATTCTATGATTCATTTTTGCGATTACAGACGGCTACGACATACGGCCCATGTAGTTTGGTCTTCCGTGATCTGAACATTGGTCAGCTTGAGTTAGTATTAGATTTTATATATAGAGGAGAACTGGCTGTCGACAGGACTCAGTTTGAGTTGTTGGCTAGGGCCTGTGATTACCTTCAAATTAAGGCGTCGTTAATTACTGAAGGTAAGAATATGGGATCAGGAAAAACGCACAGTATGTACCAGAAGAAAAGCACTTTTCAAGTCTAATTCACCTATGACGTTGTATGGGAAGCAATGGTGGTTTTGTGTGGGAAAGTCAATTTTAGCTCCACGTTAGACTCGAGAAATTAGTGTTTCTAGTGAAAAAAAACGTGTTTTTTCTACATTTACTACATATTTCCTTTCCGCCGAGATGAAAAAGCTGCCGAAGCGGTCCGGGACATGTGTGCCCTGTAAGGGATGAAACTCATGATTTCTCATAGCGCTCGATAGTGGTTTGTTAAGTTCAGTAATGGCATCTTGAAAATGGAGGATGCATTTAGCCCCGGTCGAGAGACCAAGAGCTGCCTGAAACGTTTCAGGAAAGACCGTTTCAGAGACGTTTGAGGAAAGTCAAAGAACAAATAACTCGTGAATCGGAAGTCGAGCCGCGATCATCGGACAATCTTCAGTCAACCTCATCCTATAAAATTTACATGAAAATTAGAAACTTGAGTGTCCCGTAAACTAAGTAAACAGCGCAAAAAAACGTGGCTGGCTTTTCATTATCTCTCAATATCTTACCATGTGTTAAGAAACACATCTTCCCCATGATAATATTAAACCACACATCGTTTGTTAATGTCTTTTCAAGCCCAAAAACCGTTTTGCAAGAGCTTAAGTGAGAGGTGTTTTTGCATCCTCCACAGTCTTTAAACCTCGCACCAACAGATTACTAGTTTTTCAGTCACTTGCAAATAATACTCGTAATAATACATTCGACAATTGAGAGAATATTAAAAACCAGCGCGACGAGTCTTCCAGCACTACTTTTACATTTGTGACGAGACACAGGGAAAACATTAGCAAAGAGAGGTGAGAAGATCATAGAGTGACTACTAGTGCGAAATACATTAATTTGCCGGCAGGATTTGGGTAAACATTTTTTTAGGCGAAAGACCTCATTATCTTTGGAAAAATCTAACAGGATTCACGTTTTGTTCAAATTAATGTAGGTACATCTACATTTAAATACATCTTCATTCAAAGTCAACTATATGTCATTTAATTAGAATGTATCATTTGTTGTTTAATCACCTTTTAATTGATCATAACCAGATAATTATGTAATAAAGAATGTCGTTGCTTTATTGTGGGATGGATTTTATATCCTATACGCTCAGTACAGTTGTCTAGGATGTTTCAAAGCTTCATCAGATAAATTCTGTAACCTTCACCGGTTTCATGCCATACTATTTCGGCCGTTTGTCTATTGCACTGACATGCAGTGTCCTGCGTTATTCTACCGACAAGTGATGTCTATCCTGAGTTCCGTATCTCACGAGTGGGTCCGCGATATCTAACTTAATGAAAGATAATGTCTGTTATCTTGCACACAAGCTTCCTTGGATCATATAATCGCATGAAGAAGCTGTTCCCATATTGCACATTCTGATTTTTAGTACAAACCCAAGTTGTTGTTATTTGATGGTAGGATAATTATTGTTGTAGAAAGCAAGGGATTTTCAAAAATGTCGACGGTGAGATGATCCTAATAGGTTAGAAAGTTCCCGCACCGATTAGAAAACATGACAGTGAAAATGAGATATTACGTTATATATTCTGTGCCATTTATGAGTTCTCACTATGTGGAGTATGCGGTCTGGCCAGAAGGCAGCGGGCTTTTACCTACAAAAAGTTTTTCAATGACATTTTAAATTATTGTTTTGAATCGAAGGTAAGGCTACAAAAATAAGTGTTTAGTAAACGACAAATGTAAAAACCTGTCGGCGCAGGATCCGGAGAATACAGATGGTACAACAAAACATACCATTCCAGGAGCGCAGCTTTAATTATGTTTGCCATATGTAGTCTCGCATTATCGTCGAGCAGAATGGCTTGACCTTGTTTTTCGGCCTTTTTTCTTGAATAACCAGGTTGACCAATGCAATTAGGCTAAATAAACATGCCGGTCAATTGTCCGGTTTCTATAAAGCGATTCTTAGTGAATCAGGCCGTTGCAGTTTTACCAACCGTAGAATATAAGCTGTTTCGGATAAAAATCTGGTTAGACTCTAGGCCCTGACTTTGTTCCTGGAAGCATTCATTCTGGCCGCTGGTTCATGTTGACGGACTGATATCACTTCCCATAACGGGTAACAGTTCTCTGCAAAATTCAGTCATTTTCGCCTGTGACACTCGAAACCGGGCGGTATATCAAGACCCACCGTGAAGCTATAATTTGTTATTGGACTCAGGAAGCGAATAAAGTATCCAAGCTCTCTAATTCTGTACAAACTCAGGGGAATTGAAATAGTTAACAACAGTGTGTTGTTGCATCCCGCCTTCGCGGCCAATTCCCGTGTTGTTTTACGGCCATTTTTCCTCAAATATGTCTTTCGATGATCGTTATCAAACCGGGGATATCCTTTAACTCTCGGGTTTCCTTTGTAAATTCAGCAAACCATTCTTGAGAAATCCTTTCGATGACACTGTCATTACCTTATGCAAAGCAAATGTTCCAGCCCGTTTCGGCAACGTTTTGGTCTTTACAAATAAACGTGGGGTAGAAAAAATCAATTTTTTTCATTTGGAGCGTTCATATTTAAGGATTTTCTCCAGTTAAAATGAGTTTACAGCACGCTACTGTTACAGTAAACTTATAAAGCAGAAAAAGCGCTTTCCAATCGTATATCAGGACTAAATAATAACTGAACGAAAGTTAGAAAAGAAAGTTCTTTTACGCGCGGGACCTTTCCAAGTTCATAGAACTTAACTATCTGAGTGCTGATAACTTTTGAATTTTGTTAACTTATAATCGAGTGCAGAGGGCATTGCAGTTGTCGATCAACGAGTTTTCGAAGAGGAAGAGAGCGAGGTGGTTCCCTATGATGCAGTACCTGCTAATCAGGGAGGTCATGTCGTTGGAAATAAACGGAGGATGAGCCAGGGGGCTGCGGCAGAAATTCAAAACATGGAACACGTTGAGTCGCATGCGGTTGGTAATCTTTCGAGAACAAAAAAAATTGGCAAACAAATGCCGATCTATAGTAGTTGTATTGACTGATTAATCAATAAAAGCGACAGCAATAGAAAGTGGATTTCTACCAGTATATACGGCTTCTTCGGCTATTATGTGCAACAGACCAGCATTGCAGTCCTGAGCATATCGTTTGAAATCACTTGATTCAGTCATATAAGACATTTGCCTCGGCCTCGTACGAACTATCGAGAAGATTTGAATGCACAAAATATTTGAAAAAAATAAAACAGATTTTCGTGGAGGATCGTATTAACGACCGAGTCGGATGAACGTTGTAATAGCGAACGAGAAAACGTCTTATGCCATAGCCTCATTGTCCGATGTGTTAACTATTGCGTTACAGTTGGATGTTAATGACGAGTTTCAAGTGATCGAGCTAGTGGAAGAATCGCGTCCGAGTTCATCCGGAGCAACGACTGGCTATAGTACTCGAAGAAATCGGCAAGAGTACGCCAAACGAGCTAAACTTACGACAGTCGGTAAGCGTTAATAAGGTACAAATATCTTTCGCTTATTAAAAATTGCTAAGTGGGCTTGACTAAGCTATGTCCAGGTAAATAGCTGTTGCAAATTTGGACAGAATGCGTAACTATTTAAAAAAAAAACTAGTAAAGCACATACATACATATATATGGGCGATGACGGGGTGGGTAGAACACCAAATTAACAAGCATCGGACTCTATTGTCAGTTGAAATTCAGCCCTTTTTGTGAAAAGCGGCTAGATGTATATAAGATTCCTTTGTTTGCGGCTTATCACATATGTTTATTTCAAACTTCTGTGCAGGCGACAAAAAGATTTTTTCACTAGACGAGCAAGCTCCCACCCGTGGTGCAGATGAGAAACCTGTTAAGCGAATCTGTCGCGAATGTAGCTTGGTGTTCAACTATCTAAGCGACTATAAGGAACATCGCAGGCAGGTCCATTCTCTGCAATGTAACCATTGCAACTTTCGCGCGACGAAGTCATCGGCCGTAAGGGATCATTTTGAGAAGGTAGAACGAGAAATGCAATTGGATGTTTGAAATAAATTCAGCTATTATACAAGTCGATCATGTCTATATCATAATTATTTTATTACGAGAAATTATGAAGCCAGATAATATCAATCAGGCATTTTCTTTACGTTTTAGGTTCATCAAAATGTGCGTCGCTTCAGCTGTACTGAGTGTGAGTTCCAGTGTAAGGATCGAGCAACCCTTTACAATCACATAAGAAGACACACTAATGAGAAGCCATACGGTTGCGCGTATGTAGTTTTGTTTGTTAATTAATTTGCCAATTTTTTTTCGAATAACTTCAAACTATATCTTCTATTCCAATTTGTTTATCCAATTAGATTATCGTTGTATTTACGTTACTTTACGTTTACAAGGTATTGTGATTACAAGGCAGCGCAGTCAGCATCAATGAAGCAGCATGTTGCCCTACACGAAAACATAGAATCACGTCCGCACCGATGTGATGAATGTACTCGCTACCCGATATCGTTCGCCTCCAGGTAAGTCTTGTAACTTGTGAAAGAGAATACTGCTAGATACGTTCACTCAGAATATAAATTAGTGTATTTTAATTTCCTAATAAACTGCATTCATTTACGGGGCAAACAATTTAAGTTCTAACATGTTGTAGTAGGTTTAGTTACGCTATGTGACACTAATTACTAAAGTCATTAACACAGAGAAGCAAGACGACCCTCAAATAATTTATATGACTTCAATAATTTGGCTCAAGAATCTGTCCGTATTCTATTTAACATCTCTCTAAAAAATATGTCTTTCTCATAGGTCAGCACTAACGAAGCATAAAAAGGCTCATCACAGTGGAGAAAAGGGCCAAAAACAGCAGCCATTGGTGATGAGCTTAGAGATATTTAAGGACGCGGCCGGCGATAGCGATGATGTCGTCTCCAAAGTCGACGCTGGACCCACTGGAGTTGCCGTACATGCTGAGAACCAGCAGGAAGAAAGCGCTGGATGTCCCTTAGTTAATCGAGCGTCGGCACAAGGAACGAGGGCCGGGTTGATTGGGATTAGCCCTAGCGTTGACAGGAGAATGAGGGTTTCAGCTGGAAATTTGGAGCAACTAGCAATCGATGAGGAGGGCCATCATCCTGAGGAGGAGATGGAAAGCGAGGAAGTTGTCCATCAGGGAGCTAGGGTGGATGCGGCCAGTTCTAGCTCTAGAACAATTGTTCCTGTTGCTGCTGATCATGACGACAATGACGAGGAAGCGATTGACGATGAAGAAGAAGATGGAGTTGATGAAGAGGATGTTGACGACGTTGACGCAGAGGAAGAGGAACCTGCTAGAAGAACTACTCCTACCAGTTCAGCTGGTGTTAAGCGAGGCAGAGCAAGCCCCATAGCAACACAAGTACGTGCCACAGCTCGACCGAATGTTCAAGGGCATGTAGTCGCAGCCACAACAGTAACAACTTCAACAATAGCCGGTCCGCGTCAGGTGCCTGATAATTCCCCTGTGCACTATCACGCTCCCTCTAACGTCGCAATTAGGCATGGGTCAACCGTGACCGTAAATGATACTGGAAACTCTGGCACCCATCAACATCATCATCCTTCGGACCAGCCCCAACAACAACAACAACAGCATATTCAACACCCACAGCTTCACTTGAGTGTTGCTCCTGATGTGCATACAGGCCAGACAGGAGCTACGCATAATGTGTTAGGGCAGGCCATTGTCTCTAGCAGTTCAGTGATCCATCATCCCAGCACAGTCGTCGGGCCTGAAGCTGTTGTCGTCCCAGGTGGGTCTTTGAATACAGGCCTGTCCGTTCCGACAAATGTTGCCAGTGTGACAATGGTTACAGCGAGTAATCACAACAACACCGCTGACAGAGCAAACCGGAGTCAAGACGATTTGGGAGCGCACGCTAGTCTACCAACAGCAGTTAATGTACACGATCGCGTTGTTATGACTTCTGAGGCGACAATACCGGTGCATATGGTTGGCGAAATTGTTGCCGGCGCATCGACAACAACAGGATCTGTGGGCGGGCAAATGGGGCCAATGGGACTGGTTGGACAGCCTATGGACTATCACACGAGCTCGAGTGGAGCAACAGATGAGACATCTCCGATTATCGTTGGTGGGGCACAGATAGATGCGGCAACGAAAGATCGACCTAGTGGAACCCATATTGTGGGCGTACCCGGTTCTGATGCTATGCAACTTCACGCTATGATGTGATTCGGATTACTTTTGGACGTACTATAGCATGTGGGGGTAACTTAGAGATAGGTATCCGTATAGTGTGCCGTGTTTGTGTCAGAACAAGAAGTAAGGCAAACCCCTATCTCCGATTTGATTGTTTACAAGTATAGTATAAATACAACTATTAGAAGAATTAACTACGCGCGAGTTCCCAGCGTGTACACTGCCATTGCACGCTATAATTTTGTAACTACTTTAATAATTATGTAAATACCCCGGTCCAGTCTAAGTCGCCAAAGTTGGTCTACAGATTGGCATGTATAGAAAAATCGCAGTATGAAATAATAGGCTTGATGCCTTTCAATGATGAATTCATCACCGAAGTCAAAACTACAAGGGCGAGTTTCAGAGCAAGTTTGTGGGGTTTGTGTTCGACTGTTACTCCTGATGAGCGTGCTTGGCTTCATCAGTTCAAGGGATACAATATTGTGTGTATATATGAGTCATCGGAATTGTTTTTCGCTTGCGCACACCCTTAAATTATAACGTTTTGAAACACTAATTGAAAAATGTTATTATAATTTTTTTCATTTCTTTAGTGTCCTTGCTGAAATACATATATTGGCATATAACTCACATTAAAATTATATTGTTACTAAGTTACGGATATTTAATTTCAAGCGTGTTGCGTAGATTACGCATATTGTTGAGCCATGATTACTGTAAAACGATCTTGGTTGTCACGCAAAAAAATAGCTTACTTTTTTACTTGAAGGTTTCATTCGTCAAAACTGTCTAATAGAAGATCGCGTCAAATGAATATACCTCTGTACATAAACGTGCATAAATTTGCTTAGATTAGGGCTGATTAAAGCCCTGCTAATAACTACGCATACTACTTAACTCATTGAAATGAAGAAAATAAGTATTAAAGCCTTTCAGTCTATACGTGATCGTATTTTAAGACAGTGTGCTAGTATTTAATGGCACTGAATTAACCAAATCTCAGTTGAGCTTTATTACAACTCGATAAGAGCTTAGACCATCTTGTTACAAACGTGCTTGAATTCGCTCGCGAACATTAGTTTTCACAAATTTTCACAATTCTATATATATATATATATATATATATATATATATAAATTTAGCGGCC